TTTTTTTATAACTCATCCGTTTAAATTATATTAAGCCTTAAAGTTCTGCATAATTAAGGGCGTGGCCACTTGAGTGACAGGTGGATTGCCGCTGCTGTCACCACCGTCGAGCTAGGTGGGCGTGGCTTCAGCATCCTGCTCCCGCCTCTTTGCTTATTTTCGATTATCCGGGAGTGACGCGCGGCGACGCGCTGCCAAGATGGCGACGGCCGCCTCCGCCCAATTTTGAGCTTCAAAAACGCTCCTCGGAAATCTACGGGTGACGTCACGGAAACTACGTACATGTTTTTATACAGTCTATGGTCGTTTCAAACCCGTAAGACCTTCGTTCATCTTTGGAACAAAAATTCCAACAATAATCAGATATTCTCGTAGCTTCGTAAAATTATGATTGAACCCCTGATGTCACATGGATTATTTTACAGATCTCCTTGGTACGTTTCTGGACTTGGGAACATTTCAGTTACGCAACTAAAATGTTCCCAAGTCCAGAAACGTAGCAAAGTATATTTTACATACATAAAATAATGTAAAATAATACTGTCTATGCAGGGTCAGACAGCTCTCAGATTCCATCAAAAATAATTATTATATATGGACTCGATGAAGGCTTCACGTGGTCTCTGCGTAACTTGGCTTTCATGTTATCGACACGGAGGCTCGGGCTGATGGGGACTGGGCCTGTACAGCTGCTGCAGTCGGACCGGTCTCACCGGCCACCCGGGTAACTGTCCTATTACTCTCAGTCCGACGGGCTGCCTGGGGCACGAGTGCCGGGCGCAAGGCCCTGAAACCTGCAGCTGGCCTGAGCGTGAGTCCAGAGGAGGTAGGACCGAAGCGGAGGAAGAGGAAAGCGGAAGCAGGATGGCCGGGGTCAGACCGTATCGGAGCTGGAAGACACGAGGAGGGCCGTGTGCGCTGATGCCGTTTGGCCGGGATTCCTTATGTTCCTCCTCCCTCTTCAGCTCCTCCTCCTGTTTCTTCGCTTTCCTGTCGGGTCTGTTGAGCTCCTGGAGCTTCTCGGCTTGAGCGCGGCGGATATGGTACGTCTTCCTGTGGCTTTGAAAAGAATCAAGGAATTCCTCCAGGGGCACGTGGCCCTCCATGAACTTCTCCAGCAACTCCTGTGAAGGTCAGATGACAAATAAACATGCATTAGAGGACAGGAAGTCAAGCCGGATTCATAACAAGTGTGACGCAGACGCAAACATCCTCTTTCTGACTCATCGTCTTCCAAGACTATGTCAAAACCAAGTTGTGCTATTTCAACAACCAAATATGTTAAAAATGACTTTGGTGGCATAATCTCATGCAGTCCAATTGATTACATCATTTAAAGAAATATTTCTGCATTAAATAAACCCTGCTGGAAAAAAAACAGCTTAGACCAGCCTAAGGTGGTTTGCTGGTCTTAGCAGGTGTAAGATGGTCTTTGTCAGCCGAATGCCTTAGAAGTAATATATTTACCTGAAGTACCTCCTGAAATTAATATTTCAATAATTCAAAAACATGTTTAAATGTTCAAGGTTCTCTGATATTGGTTAATGGTCACATGACATGCAAGTAAACAGATAAAATACTGAATCTTTTTGTATTGTTTTTATTTGTAAAATTATTCATATTTAGTGCCGTACGACTAATTGTGACTCCACATTATAGTCACACCGGTGTTTTGGGAACTCAATACAACTGTATGTAATAATAATAACAATAATAATAATTATTATTATTACAGTTTTAAATCGAAATAAAAAATGAATATTAGATAATAATTATAATAAAAATTATTTTATTTTATGCTACAAGTGGCAATACTAAAATTAAGACCCTTACTTCTTAAGTTATTCATTTACAAACATTCAAACTTTTGAGATTTTGAAATTTCAAATCCTCAAGCTTTTTTTTTTGTGTGTGTGTGGAATACTTGTGCAATTCTAAAAAAACCTCGGTCTACAAAAATGTTGGAAATTATGTAAATATGTATATAAAATTAACCTTGCACATTCTGTGTTCCCAAATGTGTGTTAAACTCACAGCACATGCAGAGATGGAGTTGGCTGCATTTACTGTGAACCGAGCTGCTCTGAGACACTGAAAACACCGGATTATAAACTGTGCGTGTGTAGCGCATCAGACTACACACTTATTTCATTAAATTGCAGCCTTTCTTATGCTCATTGCACTAAGCTATATCATGATTTGTTTCAAGTTTGACTAATTGTGCAGCCCTACTTTCAGTTAATTAGTTAGTTAGTTAATTAGTTAGTTCATTAGTTACCCCTGGTTTACTGCAGTTAATTTTCCAGTCTGGCCAGCCTAAAAGTGCCTAAAACCTCTTGAGGTATTTGGCCAATCACAACGCACTGGATAGCTGGCCAATCAGAGCACACCTCGCCTTTTCAGACCGATGAGCTTTGTAAAAATCGACGCGTTTAAGGCGGGGCATAGAGGAGAAATAATAATGTACAGTATGTGGAAAATAATGTGTTTTTTGAACCTTAAACCGCATAAACACATTTCATTACATCAAATACACAAAATAATGTTCTTTTTAGCAGCATCATATGACCCGTTTAAGTTACCTGACAAAAATTTGTAGGGTTTAACAGACAAACATGATAATCACATAATGCACAAATAATCACATAATAAATGTAGCATGACCCTGAAGTGTCTGTGGAACGCTCTGCTGGAAGGGGCAGGTGTCTACACTCTGTCTGTCTCAGTACGGGGGACTGAATAATTGAGAAGTCTCGTCTGCACAAACCCACCCCCTTAATGACCTCGCAGACAGAACAATAAAGTCTTTTAGGACACCACCCCTGGCAAACTACACATCAGTGTGAGACAATAACATGCAATGAGTAACTCTAACCCGGTACTGTTATTGTTAATCGAAAACTATTTAATTTGTTTTTGTTAACTGAAATAAAAACATGAAATGAAATAAAATATAAATATTAGATGAAAATCTTATACAAAAATTAGAAATTTGCTTTGGCAACATAAATATTTAAGTACTACAGCTACTAAAACTAAAAAAAAAAAAAAAAGCTAATTGAAATATATAAAAATAAACAAATAACAAAATTACTAAATCTTCAATTAAAACAAAAACTACAAATATTTAAATAGAAGCTAATTAAAATATTACTAAATACTATAACCATATAAATAATACTAAACACTGTTCTAATGACAAACAATAAATAAAATCATATATTAATTTATTGCCTTTTTAAAAAAATATTTTATTTGTACTTTTTCCAAAGAAACAAGTAGCTATATATGTTGCTGTTACGTGTGGCTGTATAAAAAGTGCAAGACGACGGAGTAGAGAATAAGTAGTATTTAATAATAAATCCAGGAGAATCACGGGGAGAATACAACATCAAACATCAAAACATCATCAATACAGGGCAAAGAAACTGAGGAGAACACAGGGCTTAAATAACTGGAGGAAAGTAATCAGTGAGAACAGAAACAAGTGTGGAGTTAATTGACAGCTAAGGGAACAGATCAACAGGGGAGCTCAGGAAAACGGGAATACAGAAACTAAAAACAGAACAGAAACAGACACATTACAGTTACTACATAGTTGCCAAGGTGTTCTGAGTGGTTTAGCATGTCTACATGATGTTGCTGGGATGTTACAGGCTATAAAACAATTAGTGCTGTCAAACGATTAATCAGATCCAAAATAAATGTTTTTCTTTACTTAACATGTGTGTGTGTACAGTGTATATTTATTATGCATACATAAATACACATATATGCATGTACGTATATATTTAAGAAAAGTATGTTTTGTTTATATATATATATATATATATAAACATGTAAATGTATATATATGTATGTTATATATACACTGAACAAAATTATAAATGCAACACTTTTGTTTTTGCCCCCATTTTTCATGAGCTGAACTCAAAGATCTAAGACTTTTTCTATGTACACAAAAGGCCTATTTCTCTCAAATATTGTTCACAAATCTGTCTTAATCTGTGTGCACACCTTTCCAAACATGATGAATACTGTAGGACTTAAGAGTCAGGGGTTTGTTCAAATCCCTTAAGCATGAGCAATAATAATAATGCTTACCTCAGTGGGGTTTCCCAGTGTAATCAACAGAAAAACTACTATTGCATGAACCCAGTTACACATATCCAAAAGTTATAAATTCAAAGATTTTATTTTAAAGGACCATTTGTTTTAATGGATAAAGCAGAGCCCTCGAACCGTGTTTCATGTGGTCTCCTGCTGTTTATTAGCTCTTTATAATTCTCAATCAAGGCATCATTAAAATTGTATAGTTTCATATGAGAACAGTCTGTGAACGGTTGCCGTCAGCCTTTTTCCAGACGCTGCTGAACTAATAGAATATGCAAGTCCTGTGGGAATCCATGGCCTAATCCGGCTCAGAATCACACGTGCTGGACTGATGTTTTGTCTGGGATGCGTCCTGCTGAAGGCTGGCTCTCTGTACAGCTTACTTATGATGGAGTGAGATCATCAATCAGACGGCAGGAGCATAATGACAAAATCACGGAGCTATCGATCGGTCGGGCCTGTGTGGGGTGGAAGACACAGTGCTTGTTTACAGCCTGAGGACGGATAAAGCTATGCAGATCAATCAGACGAAGCCGAACGGATGGGGCATGGCGGCTGAGACAACAAGAGAAGACATCTGAGGAGCAGCCTATTTTTTCCTAATGGCCCATGTTGTACGGAGCTGTTTTAAGCCCTTTGTTGAATAGTCTGTGATGTTAACACCACACACAGTCAGATCTTTTCAATGAATCCCATCCAAATGGTTCATAAATAAACAGTCTAGAGTCAACAACTCACCGACTCATTGACCTGCATATGAATTTTTAATTTTTAATGGACTAATAAAACTTAACCTCTCAAAAAATTTAATAAACAGCAGTGTGTGCCTACATATGGTTTTATTGGAATGTTTGGGGTCAGCAGGATTTTTTTTTTTTTAATGAAATGTATAATTTTATTGAGAAAGGATGGATTAAATTGATCAAAAGTCACAGTAAGGACTTTTACACTATTACCAAAGTCTTCTATTTCAAATAAATGCTGTTATTTTGAATTTTCTATTAGTTTTCACTGAAATATTAAGTTTTCAACAACTGTGATATTGACATAAATGCTGTTATTTTGAATTTTCTATTAGTTTTCACAGAAATATTAAGTTTTCAACAACTGTTTTTACATTGAGAATATTAAGAAATGTTTCTTGAGCAGCAAATCAGCATGATTTCTGAAGGATCATGTGACACTGAAGACAGGAGTAATGATGCTGAATATTCAACTTTGTAATCACAGGAATAAGTTACACCTTAAAATATATTCAAATAGAAAATAGTTATTTTAAATTGTGATAATATTTCAAAATATTACTGTATTTTTAATCAGTTGAATGCAGACTTGGTGAACATAAAAGACTTCTTTCAAAAACAGGTTAAAAAATCATATTGATCCCAAACTTGAACGGTAGTGTAATATGCAATAAATCGCTTTTTTTAAAATAGTTAATTGAAACACACTTTTCATTAGAAAAGACTTCCCCCATCAGTAGTAATGAATGTTAACAAGGAGCACAAAACAGATGGAACCATTTCTGCGACAATGAGGGCTGATATTACAACCGTTGTATTCATTTTAAACGATCTGTATAGTCTATTACTTCATAACTTGTCCTGCACCTGTGCTACAGATGCAAATGACACCTCATTTCATGCATCAGACATACAGTTTTTGCCTGGTGGGCAAAAAAATCTCACAGACTTTTGCTGTGAAATCTTTACTGATTTTTATAAAGTAAACATTTCAAGATGAACAATGAATATCATACTTTTATATCATACTATTTGAGCCATAAAAGCCTGATGTATCACAAAATGCATAAAAACTTTTTTATAATTTTTTTAATTTTTTTTATAAAATACTTTGTCTAAAGGTTCAACAAACTGTTCAATTAAAAAAGTTAGGTTGGGTTATACACCTATATCTACAGTAACTGGAAAGACACCTGAACACCATGTGCGTTGAAATGCTCTGAATGAAATGTTGGGAGTGCTGGTTTTCCACTTCTGGGACAAGCCACAATGCTGGAGACATGACTTGAGTTGAGTTGAGTTGTGATATGTTTGCCTTCTCTCTTATTTATGACACATGGGCTGTCAATGCTTTAAATCATTGATTAGATCACAGATCCATCTTTGTAAGTAGTGCAGAGGTTACACTCTAAAAAATGCTGGGTTAAATACAACCCAGTGCTGGGTAAAATAGGGACAAACACAGCAATTGGGTTGTTTTGACCCAGCGGTTGGGTTACTACCCAGAAGGTTAGGTTAAACATTTAACCCAACCGCTGGGTCAAAACAGCCCAATTGCTGGGTTTGTCCCTATTTTACCCAGCACTGGGTTGTATTTAACCCAGCATTTTTTAGAGTGTAGTGGATTTTAGGGTGGATTTTCACCCTCATGTCACCCTCGATTTCAGAACTGGATCAACCAGTTCAATGTAAATAAGGATCGTGTCATGTTGAGTAAAGACTTTCTGCACTTTTGTCAGGCTTTCATTCCGCTTTGTTCTGGTTCAGTTGGCAGGGCATGTTCATTCAACAGAATATCTGAATAAACAACATCATGCTAAAAAAACAACATGTCAAAATTTTACCCACATTTTTGTTGTCTTTTGATACAGGGTGGGTAGGGACTGAGAAGAAAAGACGCACAAAGAGTTTCTGGATATATAAAGGAAGCAAAGGATTTTGAAATCACCTCAGACCGTTCCTCGGCACGTGCAACCTCCTCCTGGAGCAAATTGTGGGCAGTCTGAGGGCTGTGCTTCTCCGTGAAGGCCTCTGGAAAACCACAAACATTTAATCTCAGTCAGTTTCAATTCTCAACATGACACTGGCTCAGAATCGAATTAAACATCACTATGAGAGATGGGAGCGAAAATGAATTTCTATATATTATATAGAAGATATTACTGTGACTCTACAGCATGTCACTTGCCCCGCTGCTGAATCTACAGCCCTACAGCAAAAACTGTGAAAGACAACATTGAATAATATGTAGATAATAAATAGCCTCCTGTTACATAGAGTGGGTGAATTTTAGTCTGTTTTCAGTTAATTGGTTGAACAGATTCACAAAATTGCTTAATCACTCGAAGAGTTGAGTGGTTCACAATTACGGAGTTAATAACTCACTCATCAAAATGAGCCGTTACTGATATGTGTAGGGAAAATGTTTTGTGCTGTATATTTTATCTTACAGTTATCAATGGACTTAACGTCTGTTCACAGCAACATGAAAATTTGGTTCAGACCAATGCGAAAAATCAGCAGACGGGCTGAATGAAAATGCGATTTCACTCTCGAACAGTAGGTGGAAAAGAGCTTAGATCATCTCTTCATAAAACACGTTGCACTGATGGCATGCAAATGTTTTTTAGCAAAGAGGCACACGTTTCTTTGAGTTGTGTAGTGTATTCTCGACTTTTGACAAAGAGCGTATGTTTGCATCAGTCTGAACAGTATATTCACAGTATATTTTGCCCTTAACATTCGTCTTGGTGTGAACATACATTGTGCTTAAAAGAAGAAAAATCATTCATATAATCCACTAGTAAACAGTTAATAGCTGAAGATTGCCATGATTGAGTTGCTAGTGTTGAACAGCAGTAAACTTAGGCATATTTAGGCATAATTTTGTGATTTCCATTATCAACAACTAAAACGGTTTCATTAATTTCATTGTGAAATGGACTAAAATTTTTAATAAAAATTACATGACAAAATATTTGAATCATTTGAAGAAACATCTTTCAAAAACCAAAAAAACTTACTGACCCCAAAGTTGTGAACACCAATGCATATGTAAATAAAACATAAGAATTATTCTATTGTCAAAGACAATAGATAAAATGGCATATTCAATATACCATATGCATTGTAAATAGTATAAAATGATACTTTTGAACGTAAGCATCACATATACAGCTTCATATGTATGGTTTTTCTAACATAGTTGGTTTGCTCGGTAGCTCACACGATACAGTACGAATCCCGTGAACCTACGGTTCGGCAAGACAGTTGAAACCTACGAATAATGAAGATTAATCACACAATAGAGCATTAACATTTTAACGACACTCCCCGGCCGCACATATGAATTTTGAACTGCCACAATACGTACCTGAAACAACGTAATAAAGAACAAAACAATACATGCCTGTACCAATATAAAAATGTGGCCATGGTCACGTATTGAAGGCGCGTTTTAGCGCCACTCACTGGACATTTCCCTTTGAAACTCCCGCGAAACGTGCAGTACGGTTGCAGAAATGTCCAATGAGCCTGGGCTGGAAAGTCCAGACTCAAAAGGAGTTAAGAACTTAACTGTGTAAAGCAATTCAAATGAAAGTCCTATGCAAATGAAAGAGAACAGAAAAAGCTAGCAAAATACTATAGATTTGACGAACTATACACAAAACATAAATAACTGCAATATTATCATATTGCGTTTCAGATATTGATATAATGTCCTATCTCTGAAGGCTCATTCACACTAAGGATGATAACTATAAATATTAACTCTAAATAATCATTCTAATTATATGAGGATAGCAAAGTTTACACCACAACTATAACAATAACGACACGGAGGAACGATATTGTTGAAATCACTTTCAGAACTATTTTTAAATCTGATGAAAGATAAAAACATTGACAGCCAATCAGAATCCAGACTTTAAAGAACTTGAGAATTTGAAGCATTAGATTAAACAACTGCAGAGTGCTTATAAGAAATGTTTTCATACCTTGGTTTGTTCTTGGTGTGAATAGGCTGATTAACACCCGCAGTAACCAAGTTAACGACTTCCTGACTGAATCACGCGAGCGGTGGGTTAAAAACTCGCTCACTAAGTCTGTCAGGAACTGTTACACGTTTGAACGTGCAAGCGCGCATTAGATTTGAGAGCTATGCACAAGAGGATGATTTCCAGAAAATAACATACATTTCTGTCTGTTCTTCACATAAAGCTATCGCATGAGTTCAGAAGATTTGAAACATGCTATGATTGCTTTTGTGGTCCTTTTGGTGCATGATGCAATAAATGGCACATTAATACATAAAAAAACACTAGCTGATAGCATTCCACTGCACAAACAGAAATGAGGTCTCTCGGGGGCTGGTAACTGTGTGCCAGCAGGACAAAAGAACATCACAACAGTGTGTGAAAACATATCTAGAGTGTGTTCAGCTGTGAAGAATCTCCGCTGCTTGAGTCTTATGTAAAGTGCGGGACTGAAGCTGCTCTCAGGTCTCTTTGCAGTGTTATTGCAGGGCCCTGAGGGTGAGGGTGGATGCAATCACTTTCTGTTAGCTCATGTCCACTGATGAGAGTGAGGGGCTCGGACCCTCTAAGTGTTGTGCTGGGGTTGCTACGGCAACCGGCAATTATGCTAATGTGCAGATGTGCTGTGTTGAGTCCACAGGGGATATGAAAGCTGAGCTAGTGGCCATCGAGGGCATAGACAGGTCACGGCAATGACACCATTTGCGCTCGATTGAGCTGAGCCGCTCCCCAAACAAACCTCTATTATAGGATGGAAATGCTCCTGAGAAAATTACTGGGGAGGTACCATGGTAAAATGAAGGTATTAACTGGTAATTATAATGGTACTGTATGATTATTCACCAGTTAAATGGTAATCCGACACTGTGAAAAAAGTTAATTTTAATAAGGAAAAAATATATAAATGTTACATTAAAAAAATACTATTTATACAGTGAATTTATTATACATGCATTACAGTATATTCATGTAATTTATTCAAGAAGATAATATATGCTCTTTTATGATTTTTCAGCATTATAAAGTATAAATCAGTTTAAAATGTAGGATGAAATTAGTATTATATTTAACAAAATGCTACATGTACTTTTAAAGTAAAAGTAAATATTTGTTACAAATTATGTTTTACACTGAAAAACAACAAAACAGGGTGGTTATTGGAACTTCCTGCCAACATTTTCACTGCCCTCACCACAAAAAAAAAAAAAAATTCATTAAAGTATTTTAAATGTGTCGCAAACATATATATTAATAATTTAATTTAATGTTTCAGTTCTTTTTACAAAAAAAAGTCAAATAATTAAAAAACATTTATTATATACACTACCACTCAAAAGGTTGGGGTCAGTATTAAGATTTTAAAGAAGGTTTATAAGAAATTAATATTTTTATTGAGAAAGAATGTGTTAAAGTTATCAAAAGTGTCAATAAAGACTTTTACATTTTTACAAAAAATTCTATTTGAAATAAATACTGCTTTTGAACTTTCTATTCATCAAAGAATCCTGAAAATAGCTGCTAAAAATTCAGATTTCAATCATAAATTACATTTAAAAATACTAAATGGTTTATTTAAATTTTAAAATGAAAAAGAAAACAGTTAATTTAAATTGTAATAATGTTCCACAATATTACTGTTTTTTACTGTATTTCTTTATTTTTTATCAAATATATGCAGACCTAGTAAGCATAAGAAACTAAAATAAAACTATATAGTGTATGGAAATACAAACATTAGAATAATTTGATTGTCAAGAGATAATATTTGTTTTTATTTATCTTTTTTCCCTTCGTTAAAATTATACAAAAAGCAGTTGCATGGCTGGTAAGCAATATTTCTGTATGATACATTTTCTCAATTGACTTGCTATTGGCAGGTGTGGCAAAAACATGTAACATACTGTATGTGCCTCAAACGGACTGCAATTCTATTTGGTCCAGCTAGTAGTGCAGCAATTACACACATAATTACACTGTAATAATCATGGTAGTGACCAAAAACATGCCATTACCATTATACCACATCCAAATAGTCATGGTAATATCATGCTCCTATTCAAGTGAGTTACTGCATCTTCAGACATGCCTTTTCAAGCTTTTACAGCTCCTTAGTTCAAGTTAATCTATCTGAGATCCTCTCATGGAAGCAAGACTCGTATATGATGAGCTTCATCCTTAATTCATCTTGTCACTACTATGGATTGATGCCAACATTCAGGCACGCGCCTTGCCAATAACTCACAACAAAGCCTTTAATGTTGCTGCTACATGCCCCGCTCTCAGAACATGAATAATCAAAGGCCCACTATGTCACATGCATTAGTGTGTAGCTGTACGTTCTGGCCATGTGCCTGCTGAGGCATGACGGCGTGAGCGAGGGGGGAGTGGCACACCACGTGCATGACCCCGGAGACCCACGACATGAAACGGTAATGGAAGGCGACAGACAGCCAAACAAATTCTTGGGGAGCAGCTGTGGGTGACCTACATACTGGGGAGAAACCATGCAGATGAGCCGCAGGGTGTCCACTTCATGGCGAGGAAACTACTGGAGCCAGAGATATGACCTGGGGCTTATGGGGTCTCACAGTTACGATGGCTCTTGATGGATACAAAGCTAAGGACCCAAGCTTTTATAGTGACATGACAGATCACAGTCCGTGGTCACGTGAAACCAAAATAGATACAATAGCAAAAAAGAAGAAGTGAGAATTGAATGAAATGGTCAATCAGAGAAAGAAATTCCTCATTCACCTGGACTGAACTTCAGAGATCAATAACCAGAGCAAAGTGCTGTCCTCCCTCCATGAATACATAATGCTAATTGATTTCATTGACTGAACACAATCGTTTTGTTCCAAACAAAAGTTTTTTTGAGGTCTGACTTTAGCATCCTGTTGTTTGCAAATGAAAAACATTCATCGTTCTAATTCCGCAAAAGGCAAAATTGTCTCTTCTAATTGCTTTACTCCGAATTGCCGCTATTTGAAAGTG